AAGTATTGTGATTCCCTATAGAATTTGGCTTGAAAAAAGGGATAGGACATCCCTGCTCTAAAAGTAAACAAACACAAAAAACCCCAAAACACAAGCAAACATACTATTAGGTATATTCGGGTTCTCTCAGCTTCATTTACTGACTATGCAGCAATACTCTGATAACATCTGAATTTTTGGCCTGAGAACCTTTTTCTTCCCAGCCTTTAGTCACATGTTAGTCAGTGGCTAACTAGTATCATCTGGTGTGTATCTTTAGGAAATTCACAAACTATGCTGTGCTGCAATTTTTCTCTGGTTTCTACTATAATGGGCCTCAACTACACTTCGCTGGATTTTTTTTTTTCTATCTATCCAACACTGTTTCACCAAAAATTGAGGTTTAGAGGTTTTTTGTTTTGCTTTGTTTTGTTTTGTTTGTTTTTCTATAGTATTATCAATCATAATAATTAGGACAATAAGAATTCAATTTGTATAGAGTTTTAGAATTCTACATTTATTTCCATCTCTCTTATAATTTAAAACAGACAATAACTCAAAACATTGTTAAAAGGACTGTTTACAAAAACTTAAAAAAATAGCAATTACTTTAATCCATCATGGATTCACTAATACTTTTATGAAAAAGAACATCATTAACTTTTTAAGATAAATATTTGTATGGTAGGCCAATTAACTAATATCATTAAATGTTAACTCATAATTCAACAAATATTTATTATTAATATGGACCAAGCAATGTAATATGGACATAATGATAGATATGATTTTGTTTCTGTCTCCAAGGAGTATACAATTTACAGGAAAGGGCATATATGTAAAAATAATTAATACATAAAACCATTGCTATAATAGGTATACTTTTAAATATGATGATGAAGACAAGGAGAGAATAATTAATTATACCCAGTTGGGGAATGAGGATGGTCGAAAAGTCTTTACAAGGAAGTTGACATTAGATCTCAGATTAAGGAATGAGGGCCAAAATGGTTTGGCTGTGCTTCACTAAGACATTTGATTACTTCTTTCATGAGATATTTGTTGTCACATTAAAGAGATATGTTTCAGATGACAGTACTTATAACTGTGTGTTTTTAAACCCAACCAGTATCTGAAATGATTTAAGGTCACTGATAGAAAAAGTAGATGGTTTTGCCCAGAAAGTATAGATTAAAAAATTGGTGTCAATCAATTTTAGGATATGGTTTAATTGGTGTGCCTCAGTGTCTTGACTCTCTCCCAGAAAACAGTTTGATCAAATATTTTAGGGGAGTGGATACCTGAGGCACACTGAGTGATATAAAGTTATTATATTAGAGTAAAGCTTTTAAAATATTTTCTCAGAACATAGCAAAATATTTAAACAAAAGAAATATAACTTGGAAGACAAAACCCAATATACCACTTATTTTAAAAAAACACTCAGAGTTCTGACTTTGACTGTAGGCTCAGTTAGAGATCCAACAGTGTCATCAAAGTACTATAAAAATAATTAAACCTTAGGCTGCATTAAACACTGAGCACTTGCAGTCAGCACTCTTGGTGCAGAAGATACAGGATGAACACATAGATTTGTCCTCATGATGTTAACAAATAAGATAGCATAAATAGATGCACAAGCACATTATTATAAAAGTACTCTAAGAGAGCAGTACACAAAGTGTTATGAGACAGCCAAAAAAAAACCATTCTTCTTTCTGCCAAGGGAGGGCCGGAAACTTCAAAAAGAGGGTGATGTTTTAGTCAATTCTTGCAAGATGAGCAGAAAGTTACACTTTTTTAAGCTCCTATCTATGAGTAAGAACATGTGATATTTGTCTTTCTGGGCCTGGCTTATTTTACTTAACATAATGACCATCCCAACACAAAGAAACGGTAAATGCTTAAGGTGATGGATATCCCAATCACCCTAATTTTATCATTATGCATTGTATATGCATGTATCAAAATATCCTATGTACCCCCAAAATATGTACTATACCTATGTACTATACTATTACATATCAATTAAAAATAAAGAAAGTGTGGGTAAATAATTTGAAGTAAAGCAAATAAGAATAATCCAAAACCTAAAAAAAAAGTTGTACATAGTTTCAGGGAAAGGATTCCAACAAAAGAGCGCCACATGCACAAACACAGGCATACTGAGAGACTATGTTGTGTGTAAGGAACACAAAGTATTTTTGTACGACTGAAAAATAGCTGCACTGGGGATTTGAAACTGGAAAAATAAGCAGAGATCATAGGAAAAGACCTTGTTAAAGAGTTTACTTTATCCCAGAGGCCACATGGAGTAATTGAAAGACATTAAGCATGTAAGTGACTTAATCGGAGTTGCTGACAGATCACACACAAGCCAAGGATGGTTTAGAGAGAATGAACTGGAAGCAGGTTTCTACCATACTCCAGGCCAGAGAAATCCAGAAACTAAATTCGGTGGTGGTGGAGCTGGAGAGGTGACACTGAATTAGTATTTAAGAGTAAAAATAATCAAATTTGGGGGACAAATTAAAGGATTATATCCCAGTTCCTGGCTTGTACTTTGGGGTGGTGCCATTTACTGAAATAGGGGAACTACAAAGAGGGATTTTGAGATGGAGGAAGCAGACAAGTACATTTATATCTCTTATTATTGCTTAAGTCTAAGCTAATTGTATGATGCTATATCATATTCTTTTGTGTTTTTGTCAAAATTCCTTATGAATGGGGCTCACGGTACCTACTTTGTGTAGGTATAGATGTTTCCTTGATTATTTACCACATTTTCTTCATTATCTATTAATTCATTCAATAACAATTTACCTGGCATCTACCTTTCTTGGCATTGGGGTAAAAAATTGAATAACACAATTTCTATTCCAAGGAGCATGTCATCTACAGTATAAGACAGCTACATACATTAATGATTATTCTAAAATAAGAACTATGAAAATGGTATTCTAGTTCTCCAATGTTACTAATGTATTAGAATTTCTGCCTATCTTTAGAAATTGTGTTGCTTTGCTCTTACTACCACCCTGTACTGAACACTGGCTTGTCCTCACCTATGGGCTCAGATTTATTCCCATTCTGAAAAAGTGAGTGCAAGTGTCACTTGATGGCCAAATCCCTTACATGGACGCAGACCATCCAGGATGCAAACACTTGCTGAAATAATTACTCAGCTTCTTTGGGTCTCAGATTCCTTGACTGTAAAATGGGTATAATACTCTCCATATCTTCAGGTGTTGTGAGAATTAAATAAGATAATACATGCAAAACACTTAGAATGGTGTGTGGAACTTATTTGATGCTTCATAAATGTTCATTGTTAGTATGAAAGTAGATAAGGTATAAAGGATGTTTTCACAAAAGAAGTGATTCCCTGGCTGGGCGTGGTGGCTTACGCCTATGATCCCAGTACTTTGGGAGGCTGAGGCAGGCGGATCATGAGGTCAAGATATGGAGACCATCCTGGCCAACATGGTGAAATCCCGTCTCTACTAAAAAATACAAAAATTAGCTGGGCGTGGTAGCGTGGGCCTGTAGTCCCAGCTACTCAGGAGGCTGAGGCAGGAGAATTGCTTTAACCCAGGAGGCAGAGATTGCAGTGAGCCGAGGTTGTGCTACTGTACTCCAGCATGCGGCCTGGCGACAGAGCAAGACTCTGTCTCAAAAAAAGAAAAAAGGTGATTCCCTGGTTGAATTTTTTTTATGAATATGAATCAGCAAAAAAAAAAAAATAGCATTTTCTAATTTTTTTCTCTTTACCTCCCTCCTTCCTTCACCACTCTAAATTCACGTCTTGCCCCTGCTCAGAACTTCACTTAAATATCATTTTATCAGTGAAGATTTCCCTGACACTTTCCACCTCAAGTGTTTATCTCCTTCTCCACTATTTTATTCTTCTCCATTGCTCTTATATACTATACTTTCTACTAACATAATTTGTTTATAACCTGTTTTCCCTATGATAAGATGAGTTTTATAAGGGCAGAGATTTTTGCTTGTTTTATTTACAAATGTATTATCTTCAGTATCTAAAACAGAGCATGGCATACAGAATTATCTTCTGATAATAAATATTTATTGAATAAATTATTATTTTATCTTAGAGATTGAATAGAGGGGCTATAATGAGTTTTGGCAATGAGTTGGATAAGAAAATTTTAGAAGATAAGCCTAACATTATATCAATAATTATAATGGTCAACATTTATGGAATTTGTACAGTATAGCAGACAACATGCTAAGTGCTTCAGACTATTCCTCTATATGTTTATAGTCATCGCAAAGAATTTCAGGGTCCCAATTTCAAAGCTTAGTTATTAATGCAATGATGAAATCTTTTGTTTCCTTTTCATAGGATTTCATATTATTAGTCACACTTGCATATTGAAGTTGGATTTTATTAACATTTAAAATGTGAGCTTCAAGTTTATTGAGAGTCAAGACACAAGTGAACCAAGAGAGCTAATGAAAAAGTTCATGCTTAACCCATCTACATTCTGTCCATAGTTCTGATGCTATCTTGACACATATAACTACTTGGAAAATACTCATCCCTGGGATCAACATAAGCCACACTGCCTATGTTGTGTGTCTTCTGTTTACACTGCAATTTTTAGAGTGTAGAAACTGAGATTCTTACAATATAGTGAAACCTTCCTGAGTATGGGCTTCTTGAGATTGGGACCCATTTGGATCTCCTCCTCAGGAGTCATCTGGTAATTGTTGAATCAATTTCTTTGATTTTCCCCTTCCTACATTTTTGTTTTGCAAAAGATATACCTGCCTGACTTCACCACTTTTCATTATGTATCAAGACCTCTCTCTTCATAAATGCTTGGTCTGGCTTTCTTAGCACCATTATTGAAGAGAGATAAGTTAGGAGCATGAACGTAAAGCTGTGATTTTGGCCATTCTCTAGAGAGAACAGAAAAATCAGGACATGTGTAGATATAGATGGTATGCTAATTCAGTCTGGAAAAGTAGAATTCTTCCCCAAAAAATGTAAGCCTAATGCTAAAATTTCTTTTATTACATTTTGGAGAGTATAGATGTTTGATCCTCAACAACTATAACAAGTAAAGTAAAGAATGAGGACACAGGAAGTCCCTTTTATAAGAGTATAATAGAGGTGTAAATAACATATGAGATTTCTTCTACCTTCCTAGATATTGAATGCCCAGTGAAGTCCTGGGCAGAAGAATGATGTGGGAAAACTGGACAATTGTCAGTGAATTTGTTCTTGTGAGCTTTTCAGCCCTATCCACTGAACTTCAGGCTCTATTGTTTATCCTTTTCTTGACCATTTACCTGGTTACTTTAATGGGCAATGTCCTCATCATCTTGGTCACTACAGCTGACTCTGCACTACAAAGTCCTATGTACTTCTTCCTCAGAAACTTATCCTTCCTGGAGATAGGTTTCAACTTGGTCATTGTGCCCAAGATGCTGGGGACCCTGATCATTCAAGACACAACCATCTCCTTCCTTGGATGTGCCACTCAGATGTATTTCTTCTTCTTTTTTGGGGCTGCTGAGTGCTGCCTCCTGGCCACCATGGCATATGATCGCTATGTGGCTATCTGTGACCCCTTGCACTACCCAGTTGTCATGGGCCACAAATCCTGTGCCCAGCTGGCAGCTGCTTCTTGGTTCTCAGGGTTTCCAGTGGCCACTGTGCAAACCACATGGATTTTCAGTTTCCCTTTTTGTGGCCCCAATAGGGTGAACCACTTCTTCTGTGACAGCCCTCCTGTCATTGCACTGGTCTGTGCTGACACCTCTCTGTTTGAACTGGAGGCTCTGACGGCCACTGTCCTATTCATTCTCTTTCCTTTCTTGCTGATCCTGGGATCCTATGTCCGCATCCTCTCCACTATCTTCAGGATGCCCTTGGCTGAGGTGAAACACAAAGCCTTCTCCACCTGTTCCTCCCACCTCCTGGTTGTCTCTCTCTTCTACAGCACTGCCATCCTCATGTATTTCCGACCCCGATCTAGTGCCTCTCCCGAGAGCAAGAAGCTGCTGTCACTCTCTTACACAGTGGTGACTCCCATGTTGAATCCCATCATCTACAGCTTAAGGAATAATGAAGTGAAGGCTGCACTGAAGTGGGTTATCCACAGGACCCTGGGCTCTCAGAAACTATGATTGACTTAGGTGGAAACTGAAGGGTTAAAATGTAAGCACACAAAAAAATGAATTCCTCAAGTGGGTTTTGTGTCTCTACTCTTTTTAGGTGACACAGTATGCCTACTGATTTTTTTTTTTAACTTTCTACTAAGACTTATTTATGAAAGAAAGAACATGAGGAATGAAAGAAAGCATTGTCGTAGTCTGAGTATTCTATGGGACAGTGGTACCAGTGTCTCTGGAGATGCTTCTAGTTTATATAAATTAGGATCCTCTGAAGATCAATAATTATAATCTACCATTTTAAAAGATTTGTTTCAGCCTTTCTCAAACTCCCTCATCCATTTCATTTTATAATTTTCTGCTTTACTTTCTTCTATTTGTCTAAAACCTACCTGCATGTTTCTAGGCTTTGTTTACAACATAATTAAAATAACAATAATAATGCTAATAAATAGTAGAGTTTTGTTTTATTCTTATACTCATTTTTCCTAACACATTTTGAGTTTGAACTCAACATTTTAACAAATTTATATTCAGCACTCAGCATGTGTCACACCTGGTTTAGGCCCTGAAGACATATTGGTAAATAAAACAGATAATTTTTTTTACCCCATAGAATTTACAATCTAGTGAGAAAAAGAGATAATAAAAAGATACAAAAATCCTCCACTGGTTTATAAAGTATACATGTTTAGAGGACTAGCAATTGAGGAGCAGACTATGCCTCATCTGGAGAAAGGCTGTTGCACAGTGACAACTGCCTAAATCTCACATTATCCACCTGGTGTATGAGAGCTGCTTGACATAAAAGGTATAACGAGCTCCCAGTCAAGTGTTAAGTGGAGAAATTATGGGGAACTACCATAAAGAACCAAAGATTCTTTGCTTATGAGATTTTTTTTCTGTAATCTTATTGTGATTGGATGGAATCAATTGTCTTTTTCAAGCTTGTGTATCTTTCAACCAAAGTAGTAGCCTCTCTTTATAATTTTATGTAGTGAACATGGTCCAACTCCGAACTCAGCAAACAGCAGCCTTGGGTATGGGCAACATAACTGTGTGTAAACATACTCATAGCAATTCATTGATAATTAAGGGTGAAATTATATTTACTACACAGGCATGTCTGCCTTACCAATATAAACAACCTACTTCTGTGTGCCATAGAAGTACCAGGACCAGTTTCCTTTCCTGTATGAAGTGTCCTCTAGCTCTCTTGACACAAGAGCTTCTGAAAGATAGCTCATTCTGTAAAATGACAGTAAGGATTTTCAAAAGAAAAGGCAGATCATGGGGTTCTATTTGCATGAAGGCAATCACACAATCAAACAGATTGACACCATTAAAAATCTATAGTCTCCAATTTTGGTCAAACTTTAATCACTTCTTCACATTCCTTTTGCTTGACCTTGGTGAATAAGGTAAACAGTGCCCCCTCCCCACAAGGATATCTATATTCTAGTCCCTGGAACCTGTGAAAGTGGTACCTTCCATGGTAAAAGGGCTGCAGATGTGATTGACTTAAGGGTTCTAATATGGGGAGATTATCTTGAGTTATCTTGGTGGACTCAATCTAATCACAAGGGTCCTTCTAAGAGGTAGGCAAGATGATAAGAAGGAGGGACAGAAAAATGTAAGTATGGAAGCAGAGTTTAGAGAAGACAGAAGGTGATACATTACTGATTTTGAAATTAGAAGACAGGGCCATGAGCCAAAAAATATAGGCAGCCCCTGGAAGCTGAAAAAATCAAGGGGACAAAATGTCCCCCTAGAGACTTTGGAAAATAATGTAGGTCTTGCTGACACCTTAATTTTAGTGCACTGGAAGTGATTTTGAACTTTTAAACTCTAGAATTCTCAGATAACAAATCCATGTTGTTTTAAGGGTTTGTGATAATTTGTTACAGCAGCAATAAGAAAATAATGCAGTTGGTTATTCCGTATCCTTTTCAACTAATATCCAAGTTTTTGCTCTTTTCCCCTGTACTTTCTTCCTTCTTTCAAGAAAACAGCTTCTACTTCATCAGGAAAATTGGGGTGATCAGATTTAAATGATTTTTACTTATGCCCTTACATCTAAAAATGTGCCTGTCTATGCCCACATTTATGCCTATTTCTCTTAATCTGAGAAATACTTGATTTCATTGCCTCTTGTCTATGGACCATGCTCCCTGTAGTATCTTCACTGTTTCACCTGTAACTTCAACATCTTCCTCTCTTTTGTCTCAAGCTATAAACATGCCCTGATCCTTAAAACAAAACTGAATTACAGTCTTGATCATGTTTCTCTTGTCTTTCTCATTTACTTTCTGACTTTGGTACCATCTTTATTGAAATAACTTACATATTCTAAAACTCAGCTATTTAAAGTTTATAATTCAATTTTTTTAGCATATTCACAGTGTTGTGCAACCATCACCACAATCTAAGTTTCCAACAAATTTATCATCCCTAAAGAAAGCCCATACCCATTAGCATCAGACAACTTCCTGGGGAAAACAAAGTTTATAATTTCTATTTTATTTTCATTACATTTACTATTTATTCACTGAAATCTAGTTTCTGCTCCTATCACTTCATGGAAATACATCTTTCAAAATCATTAATGGCCTCTATATTAACATGTCCAATGTTTAATCTTAATTTTGCTACTCTCTATTACAACTCTTACATTGCTCATGCATTTCTTTTGAATATTTCTATACCTTTTTTTTCCCAAATACCACTGTGTTCTGGCTTTCTTTCTGCATCTTTGACCACTCATTCTCAATATTCAAGGAGTTTTCTCACAAACACTTAACCATTACAAATACCGTGTTCCCCAAAGTTCCAATAATAACCTTGGTGCTTTTTTTTTTTTTCACTTTGTTACTTTTTAAAAAAATAGCTTTATCGAAGTATAATTTATATACAAAACTGCATATATTTAATGTCTACAACTTGATGAGTTTGTACACAGGCATATACCCATACCATACATACCACAAACAAGGTATGAAAGGGAGAGAGAGAAGAAGAGAGAGAGAGAAAAAAAACCTCATCACTCCGAGCTTGAGAATCAGATTTTTGCAACTGTCCATAAGACATATCCACAGTGATTTCTCAAAGGCGCCTCAAAGGTATCTTTTAACTCATATCAAAAACTAAACTCATTTTCTTTATCAAACCTGCTTCTTGAACTGCATTCCTGTTTCAAAGACTGTGACTAGCATTACCTAGTCAACCAAATCAGAAATCTGATAATCAAATTAGGCTCATCCTTTATACCAGAAAATCCAATAAAGAGTCCTCACCTAACCTGCATGTTGTAATTTCCTTTGGGCCACAATACTATATTACATATAATCTTCAATAAATTCTACAAGGACTATGTGATTCTTTTTCTGGATCATAACTTAGAAATCCTGTTTTACAAAAGAAGAGTTAAGTATACGTCTTCCTAAAACTTTTTTATTGCCCATTTAAAATTTGTATTACTATTCTGCTCATTCAAAATATTGTGATACATTCATAAATTGACCATCCTACAAGTTGTATTTCAAATATTACCTCTTTCACAGCATGGATTCAATTGCTTTCAACCTGACAGTATTTTCTTCTCTGAGAAAACACATGCACACAAACATATGATATATTTTTATTCTGTCTTACTTATTTGCTCCTTGATTATGTTGCTTGCTTGTAAGGACAGGGTTTATAACATACATCTCCTGCATGGCCTAGCACAGTGACTTAAGCACGGTAAAATGCAATTAATATGCATTTGATTTCCCATGAAATAAATTGGGAGTGTTAAATAAGTACAAACATTCAACTATCCAGTATCCCTCATAGATATTCATATATAATCCCTGCAGAGAAATGTTGACTTACCAATATTTTATGTTTCCAATATTTAAAACAATTCTGTATTTTTTGACTAAATATGTGAATTAAAAATGATAAAAACTTTTTATCTGTCCACCTGAAGGGTGTCTGTATTGTCCACGAAAATGTGTAAAATACATAACCTCTGCATTTACTCCCTGCCCATTGCAGTTAATCATTTCTATGTAAATTACATAATAGGGTTGGATTAGAAAATATAATAAAAAAATACATATTTCTGTAGTTTATGTTACACATAAAATTCTACTTTTTTCTTTAAAACAGCCCTTTGAATTAACTATTCTTATTATTATTCCCATATTAGAGATTATCTAAAAGATTTTATCTAGTTTCATGCCTTTATATACTGTGTATAGACTACTGACCCCCAAAATTATGTCTTCAAATGTGGTATCTCCACTGAGCTCAAATCCAGTATCCAATTGCATTCTTCATATCTCTGCATTTATGTCAAGTAGGCATCTCAAACTTCCAAAACATTTCCATAAAACTTGCTTTGGACATGGATGAATCTGGAAACCATCATTCTCAGCAAACTGACACAAGAACAGAAAATCAAACACCATATGTTCTCACTCACAGGCGGGTGTTGAACAATGAGAACACATGGACACAGGGAGGGGAACATCACACACTGGGGTCTGTTGAGGGTCCAGGAGAGGGACAGTGGAACAGCGGAGGTTGGGGAGGAATAACATGGGGAGAAATGCCAGGTATTGGTGATGGGGGTTGGAGGCAACAAACCACATTGCCATGTATGTACCTATGCAACAATCCTGCATGATCTGCACATGTTCCCCAGAACCTAAAGTACAATTAAAAAAAAAAACCTTGCTTTTTTATTCCCCTCTTCTACTCACCAGCAAATATTATCACCATTTATTCAGTGACTCAAGCCAAAACCTTAGGAGCCATCCTTATTTACTCACTACCTTTCATCCCTCATATTCAACCTATCAGCAAACCTGACAAATGATTTCCAAAATATATGCGATATCCAATTTTCTTTGATCGTATACTGCTATTATATGTTGACTACAGCAGTACCTCCTAACATATCTTCCTATTTCTATCTTGCTTCCCTATAATCTGCTATCCGTGGAGAATCCTGAGTAGTCTTTTAAATATGTAAATAAGATTATGTCATACCCTTGCTTTAAGACTTTTCACAGCTTTACATTACTATTCAAGTAAAATGCAAAACCTTCACTAATTGTACATACCCAACTTGTGCTAATCTCTATCCACTTTTCCAACCATACTTAAAATCCCCTGGCCTCTCAATTACATTGATGTAGTTCAATGATTTTGAACTGTGAATCAGAATCACCTGGAGAACTTTGAAGACACATTTAATGTCAGCACTTTTGGCCACAAAGAAGTACTTTGCATTTAAATAATTCTCCCTCAAACAACTGTACAACTGCAAAAGACTGACAAAACACAGGAAACAAGTGCTTAAAGATACAGGAGAGCAGCAAACACAGGACTTGAAGAGAAAAGGTAGGATGAGGGAAGAACAATA